TGCCGAGGCAGCGGTGGACGAGCACGGGGCCTGCCTTCAGCTCACGTGCCGAGGCAGCGGTGGACGAGCACGGGGCCTGACTTCAGCTCGACCCCGTTCCCAAAGTGAAATTTTTTCTTTATTTTGGCGCTGGGTGCAGCATCGCACGTCTCGGAAGCGGCGAGCCCTCGTCTGTGTGCTCAGGCCGCCGCCTGTGGGTGTTAGGGGGTTCACAGGATTTTTGTTGGCTGCCACATTCATTAATGTTTCCCTTGGCGTGACAGTGAGGCATACATGCATATCACATATTCGTCTAGTGGGATATTTACTGCAAGAACTCAGGATAAATATTTGGCTCAAGGGCCCAACTGCAGTGTCCTTTAATGAAGGTCCTTCCCAAACTGTGCGATCCCTGACTTTGCCCTGTCAGTCATTTTGTCCGTCCGGATTTTTGTATGAAGCACCAGCACTGGTGCTTGTATTCTTATTGGCCTCTTTACTTGTGTTGGTAGCTGACAGCAGACGGTGACCTTTTCATATTTAATGTTGTTTTCCATCATTTTTCCCATTATTACTGGTCCTCCTCGTGAGAACAGTCCTCCCAGAAAAACAAGGATGCTTAGGGTTCAGCAGAGTGATCCTGCTTGGTGAAACGAGACGTCGTTAGTCTCGGGCAACACAACATCGAACGGGTTTCATAAATCCCCAGTCACATGTCATGTCAACTGCGCAGTGTACGATTGCAAGGGGTGAGAATGAACCGCAGCTGGAATCTTGAAGAACGATACTTCCCGTTGCACGTCAGTCATACTGTATCAAGTCTGTTAATGAAGATAAATGTGTGTTCTGCTGTTCAGGAGCCAGTGTGCGGTGGGATTTAGGTGCCCATATGTTTACTCAGATGAACTGTTAAAAAAACATCTGTTGTGGGTGGCGGTAAATGACAGAGATGAACACTGGCTCACGTCGAAGCATCTTCCTGTTTACGAAACAGAATTCTGAGCAGAACAGAATTATACCAGCCTAAGAAAGATGGCTCATTGTTAATGTATTTTTAAAAAGTGTGATTGGAAGCCTGGATCTACATCAGCGGTGGCTAATATATCTCTCTTTTCTACCTGATGTATTTTTCTTTCTGCTACTTAAGAGTTTGAAAGAAGAGGACATGAGTACTTCAACTGGCATTAAATAAGGCATAGATTTAGAGTCTGACAATACTGGAATGTAATTTCCCATATCAAAGCGTAGTTTGGTAAAGCAATTGTGTCCTTATCCAAATAATTTTGGAGTCCCAATAAGCGGGTTCCTTGTCTCTCCCATCTGGTGTCTCAGACATCCCGCCAAGCAAAGCAGAGCAGAGCGCACATTCCTGGGCGCTGTTTATGTCCCGTTCACAAGGAGCATCTGAGCTCCACGGCCGTCTGCAGGGCTGCTTTTTTGGCAGATTTGTTTGGTGCGAAAACATAGACCAAAGGCAGCCTGGGAAGGACCTCCACAAGTGTTTAGTCTTTGGCGCCTGCCTGAAACTTTTGACGTTCTGGCGTTTGGCATAAAAGGGCCGGAATCTATTTTTACTAATATTAAAATGCCTTTCCTCATAAAATTAAAATTTGATCAAATAAGAGTAGAAAGTACCGCCTGAATTGAATTTAATGACTTCATAAAAATTGAACTGGGTCCAGAATAGTGGGACTTAACAGGGGAGGGGAGTGGCGAGGAGAGTGGTGCTGAATGGGTTCAGAACCTGTGGGACGTGACCTTATAACCTCCCGGAACGCTAATTGGACCTAAGTGAAAAATAGCACTGTGTGTCCCAGAGCTGTGGCCGTGGTATGTTGAGTAAGACGCTAAACCTCCATCATGTTGCCCTACGTCCCATAAGAAGGTGCTCTCATCAGCTCATTCTGCTTAAATTTTAAAAATAGCCGGGGTTAAAATAAATGGCGCGGCCGCGGCCGCTGTGATCCAAGCTGCAAACGATAAGTGAATAATGCAGCCATCTTAAATGGAAAAATAAGTTTAGCCAAGAAACAGTATGTAATCTCAGCTACTCTGCAGCCTGGCAGCCAGCGACTGCAGTGATAAATAAAAGAGCTACCAAATAAAATATAAAAATAAACAAATAAAAGCAAGCATGCTGTGGGGAATATGGAGCCTCGGGCTTGGATTTCTCAGGGTTCGTATTATTATGTTTGAAGAAATGTTATCTCACCAGTACCAGCCTGGCTGCTGTACGGTCCCACAGGCTGGATTTTGCAGATATATAAATTCTCTTTGCGTGAATCTTTTAAAATAACGAAGAGAATCTTAAGAATTTGTGTTGTTCGGTGGTCATTCAGTTGGTCTGTTTTTGAACTAATAATGTGGTATCCTTGGTGAAAGTAAAGGTAATTAAAAGACAGTAAGTAATAAAAGTTAATAAAAGACATTAAAACGATGGGACTCCGCCCTCAACAGAAGTGGATGAATCAGTGATCTATTTTCAGCTAATAATTTCTGGATTCATTGAAAAGAAGCAGGATTTCTGCCCGTACAGTAAATGTCACCTATTTTCAGCAACGTGTAGGGAACTGCTGGAGGCTTTTATAGTTAAAATTGTTTGCCAGCGTCCTGTAGCCCAGGAACAGAAAGGGGAGCGAAAGCTGCTTCTACGGGCAGCTGAGTGCTTTTCCACAGTCTTCTGGAACGGCCAGTGCCTGTTTCTCTTGGACTGACTGGACAGGGAAAAAATAAAATTCCGAACACAAAGCTCTGCCGATCACCGTTTCCGTGCCCATCCTGAGACCATCCCAGCCAGCTCTCAGAAGTAAAAGTGCTGGCTGCTTTTTTTTTTGTGATTGACGAGTTCCTTGGATGGCACCTGAGATCACGAGACACTCCGAAAGTAGCCCTGTGTCCCAGGGAACTGGCGTGATGGAGTATGGGGGGGGGGGGGGGGGGGTTAGAGGCAGCCAGGGAAAGCGCACCGCTGTGACAGCAGGTGAGGACACCAGTCAGCTGACCAGAGAGGTGTTTGCTAAGCATCACGGGGACCACGAGCACTTCCAGATGGAGCCCCTGCACGGTGACTTTGGCCGTGGAGTCGGGTGGGTGGGGGGGTGGAGTAAGAAGCAGAATTTGTGCTCAGCAGACAGAACTGTTTTGCAGAGTCTCAGAGAGTGAGGAGACTCTGCGGGAGCGCACTCCTGCAGCAGGGGTCCCAGGGGGACACCATGATGTCCTGGAAGGTGGTTGTGGTCTCCTTCTACTACTACCAGCTCTGCACGTGGGCTACCAGCCACCGCAGCAGAGGTAAGACACGCCTGCCACCTGTGTATGGTCACGAACACGCTAAGGGTCGGCAGACGTTGCTAGCATGATCTCTGCTTTGCTTTAAAATATATAATATAGCGCTGTCATTTCCTGTGCTGGGTTAGTGTTTCTTTGGATTTCTCTACGGCCGTGTTTCCCAGTCCGGTCCTCGGAGACCTGCAGACAGTCCAAATCCTTGTTCCCGCCCAGCTCCCAGTATGGTTAGGGTTAGGGTTAGGGTTAGGGTTAGGCAGAGAGCTGGGAGGGAGCAAAAATGTGGAACGTCTGCGGGTTGGGAAACGGTGATCTACAGTATGCAAAGGGACACTGTAATTTTACACCACATACAACGTGTACCTTGCTTGAGGACACAGATACATTCTAACCCTCAGCCAGTCTCAAAGTTCCTTTTTGGAGTCGCTATAGCACCTGCTTCCCTAGGTCATTATTCTCAGATGTGACATGCAGGACTGGGCTGGGCTTCAACGTTTCCTTTGGCCTTTTCCAGTTTGTGGAGTTGTTTGGTTTTCTGACTGATTTGTACAGGCCTGAAGAACACCAGAGATGTGATCGGGTCAACCGCTACGCATAGCGGATCTTAAGGGAGACATGTTTGTTTGCTTCGAGTTTTCGCCGAATGGCAGTGAGTTGCCATTTGTATTGAGCAGCTCACTGCCACACAGTTATATGGTGAAGGTCGAGTTTACGAACTTGGGGACCTGACCCAACAACCATGTCATTTTCTGTGAACCATCACTCCCTGGGTTTGGAGATGGTGGACTGCTGCGGAGTTTATGGCTTCCTCCTTACTTGTGAGGTCGCTGTTTCTGACTTCATGATGCTCACCATACAAACCAGAATGGCAGGGAAGAGTCACCAGTTTGCTCTGGAACGTTCTGTATGACTTCAGACCGGCTGCATTCCTGTAATGTAATTATTGGAATAAAGATTTTTATTTAGTGGATACATACCAAAAATACAGCTTCTCATTTATTTAATATGGAACTTTCTCTGAAGCCAGGTTTTCTTTCCAATATCTAAAATTTCCCAAATTCTAAAATCGAAGCTCATTCCTCCAAGGAAACTATCGCTGTGCATCACGATTCCAACCCTGTATCTGTCTCGGATCTTATTGTTTTTGGATCTTATTATCTTACAGTTTACTGCAGAAATAAATAGTTTATATGTCTGGCTGAAAACAAATTTGATATAAGTGCAGAATCTCAGCTTCCACACACCTGTTGAATGGCTGCATAATGAAATCCGGGTCCCTACTGTGGCTTAGGGCACAATATTTACTGAAAGTAACTTTTCTGGATACGGGTCCCAGGAGTGTGTTTCTAAGAGGACTTGTGCTCATTATCAGAGACGTCTGGAAAATGGGGGATGTGCTGAAGGGGCAGGTTTGATGCACCAGCTGGCTTTGGGCCGTTTGTACGATGTGCGTGTGTGTGTGTGTGTGTGTGTGTGTGTGTGTGTGTGTGTGTGTGTGTGTGTGCGTGCGTGTGTGCGTGCGCGCCAGACTGCGTGACTCTTACTGTGTGTGAGTCACAGCTCTTATTCTCTGGCAAGTGTTTAAGATATTTTCTTTACGAGGCGTGGAATGAGCAGCCCCGCGTGTCAAATGCCTCGGATTTGTTCTCTTGACAGCCGTGCTGATCTGCGAGTCCTCGCACCCGTCGAAAGAAGCAAACGCGCTGCCTGGTGGACACCCAGGGGCCATGGCTAACATGTGTTTCTGACTGAATGTAAATTTAAATTTGGGGCTGGGAGTCCATGTGTGTGTGTGTGTGTGTGTGTGTGTGT